TCTGCCTCTCCCCTCACGCCTCCCTTTGCCTCTCTCTCTCCCACTCTCCCCCCTTTCCGCTCTTCTTTGACTCCCCTGCTCACCCCTTCCTCCCCCCCTTCCCCTCTCACCCACCTCTCGCTCTTTCTCCTTCCGCTTTCCCTGTGTTGTCGCGCACTGCTCTCTGCTCTTTCTGTGTCGCCCTGCCGTACTCTCTTTTCCTCATGCTCTAATCCCACTGATGAAAAAAGCCCTACTGCCGTTTTTCTCCCCGGACAGCCTTCCTTCTGTGTCTCACAGCCGTCCTGGGTCCCACAGCCTTCCTTCTGTGTCCCACAGGTTTCCGTGTCCGACAGCCCACCTTCTGTGTCCCACAGCCTTGCTTCTGTCCCGCAGCCTTCGTTCGGCTTACTTGTGTATCCCACAGCCTTCCTTCTGTGTCCCACATCCTTCCTTCTGTGTCCCACAGCCTTCTGTATGCCCCGTAGCCTTCCTTCTGTGTCCCACAGCCCCTACAGCCTGCCTTCTGTGTCGCACAGACCTTTTTTTCCTGTGTCCCACATCCTTCCGCATCTCACAGCCTTTTATGTCCCACAGACTTTTGTGTCCCGCATCCTTTTGTGTCCCACAGCCCTCTGTGTGACATAGCCACGACGTAGGAGCGATAAGCGGCGCTGCGGCTTGTCCTCCGGTTGTGTTTCCTCTGCCCCTTCCGTCTTTCCCCTCCATCCCATGTGCCCTCTTTTCTTTTTGGTTCTGTTTTCCGTTGAAGGGGGTTAACCCCTAGCATCAATCATGACTATCCATCTGCTTCTGTTAGGATTTGAAGTCAAGATCTGTTTATTGACATTTACACGTGTGTACCATTCAGCCATATGGACTGGGTGTTTCTCTGTCAGCGCGCTGGTCAGCGTTTTGGCCCCCGTCTGCTAAAGCGTATACACCCACGAGTGACTTTAATGGACGTATCTGACTGTCTTAAAGGACGACTCGTCCAGAAGTCCTCCGGGCTAGAGAGCAGTTCTAGCCTTGTGATCATCACGGCTTGGTCTCTCTCTCTCTCTCTCTCTCTCTCTCTCTCTCTCTCTCTCTCTCTC